CCACCTGTGGGATGGTAAAGAGGTGTGGAGGGGGGTAAATCCAACGTAAACTAACATTATGCAATGGGAGAGGGAACGACGAAACCCAACGTAAACTAACCTATGGCAGTTAAAGAACCACCTCTCCTTCTACCAAGTCTTATGAGTGGTGTAATGAAACTTAAGGTAAACAATCCTATAGGTGAGGAGGGGGATGAAATACAACGTTAACTAACCTAATAGGAGTGGTGTGGTATGAACTACAACGTAAAGTAACACAACTTGTCGCGCACCTAAATAATGTGGGGAAAAAAATGCTTTTTCTAGGTAAGCTATACGGTTACGGTGAATAGTATGAATTTTAAACGTCGAATCTGATATTTTGATATGAACATTCACATATTTAGATAAAGTCTGTACGTAAAATGTTAATTTTACTTAATTTGTAAAATAGCAGATTTGTTCGAATACATTGTGTGCCAGATGGCTGTATTGATGATTACGTTATAGCACTTGAGTTTAATACAGCAGATGGCTTAACGCGGCGGCGGCGATGTCGCCGTCAATTACATGAATTGTTAATATACGAGTTATAAGCTTGACTGTAATTAGTATAGCGAATAATAAAACAGTACATATTTGTTTTTTTTTGTAAACAATATATAATAATAATAAAATAGTTCAAGTTTTCTTATAGTAAAACATATTCTTAAATAAACACTACTACCGCCGCCGACGACGACGATAATAATTGCTGAAACATATATTCTAATGATTATAATATTATTATAATTGTAATAAACTTAATTATTAATGTTGTATATATATTTTGCATGAATTATTACCCATATCCCTCTCATTGTTATAAATTATAACTGTATTTAACAACTATAATTAATTATTTTTAATTATATAATACTTTTGACTGGACGGATTGCATTCTTCGTCTGTCAACGCATTAGACACGGCAGACGGTCATAATTTTTACAAAGACATCTGTTTTAAATCTTAATGGCATATATGTATAAACATTTTACTTTAAGACTCAATGTTTTCACGCTATTATAAATAGTGATTCAATTTATCAACTAATTTACTTAGGTGTCGTTTATAAAAAAATTTAATGTAACAAGTACTGTATTACATATAGAAACCTAAATATTATTTTCTCAGACCACTTCATATACTTTGGTAATTTTGCTCGCGATATACGATATACTTGTGCGATTAATGACCGCACACCACCATCACTGGTGCAGCGGATAATACAGTAACAATCCGTATTTATAAAGACATCAATAAAGATTATATTCACTCTGTGACTAAGCGTTATTAACGGGTCGTTTACTTTTTCACTATATTTTCTTGAAACATCCATAACTTTTTCAAAAATCAACAAATCAACATAATTTTTTTTTATATTATGACCTTAGATATTTCTCTTTCATTTGATATTATATTTTTGAAAATCTAACATTTAACCTGCTCACATGAAGGGATTTAAAATAGTAACTTTTTTACAAAAACAAACATTTTCAAAAGTTCAAATTTTCCGGAAATACTGCATCCTTTAAACATATACCAAATGAAAGATTATGTCATGTATTATAAAATGAAAAAAAAATTTGTTCCGACACTACCTTCCGCATGCAAACGGCTGTCGTAGTTAAAAAAATGATATTTTTGTGTTAAAATTTAAAGTAGGTTAAAAATTATTACTTTTAACATATTAAAATTCAAAATCAATAATAATTTGAAAAAAATTCAATATAATAATTATATAATATATAACTTTATATTATATTTTTGAATCTAAGAATTACTAATCTGGATATAATTAAGGAAATAGTAGATGTTGCTTTTGTAATTATACACCAATTTCTTAAAATTAAACATAATCTACAGATTGGCATCGAATCGTTTTTTATGATAGTGATTTTAATCACTATCAGATTAAATCTATACTGAACCCAACTATGCCACGTCCCCACTGTGCCGCGATCCCACTGTGCTGGGTTTTTTTTTTATGTCTGTTGCCACTTTTTATCACCTCTTACTGGACCAATTTCTTTCAACAATACGTCAAAAGATTATAAATCGAATCTATTTGAAGACATTATCCTTAAAATTTGAAAAAATTTTCCTCATTCCCCTCAAATAAAGGAAATCTCCAAAAAAAAAATTACAATTCTTAAAAACCGTAAATTTTGTCATTTTATTCACTTTTTTCTTAAAAATTCGATAACATTTTCATAGATTAACAAATTAATATAATTTTTTTTTATATTAAAACCTTAGATATTTTCCTTTCATTTGATGGTATTTTTTTTGAAATAATAGTTATACGTTAGGTCTATAGCTATATCTCAATAATTAATTTTTTTACATTTTATTAAAAATATTAATTATTTTTAAATTTTTAATAAAATGTAAAAAAAAAATCTAAGATAGCTATTTTGTAGAGTAGAATTTAAGAAAAATTTTAGTAAAAAAATATCTTATTAATATTGAATTTTTATGTATTATTTTACGGTATTAAACATTGAAATACGCATATAATACGTAAAAGGACAGAAGAAACGCTATCTTTTCATGATTACTGTGTATGATGATAATGTGTATACATTACAAACTTGGCTTTAATACCATGATAAGAAATTAGATAAGGCAATTATTACTTATCACTCTCATTCAAAAGTATATTGAAAAGATAGCGTTTGCTTCTGTCCTTTTCTCAATACGTATTTATTGTTTAATACCGTAAAATAATATATAAAAATTCAAAATTTCACAAACTTCAAAACGCTACAGAATATTTACTACTCAATATTAATAAGATATTTTTTTACTAAAATTTTTCTTAAATTCTACTCTACAAAATAGCTATCTT